GCCACCTGGCCCTGAGGACTCAGCAACAGCTCCCGGGAGAGCCCGCAGGGCGGGGGCCACCGTGGCCAGGGCTCGCTGCCTGGGCTCCATTCTCAGCCAGGATACCACTGTGGGGCTCGGGCAAATTTCACCCATAGTGAGGACGGCAGGTACCTGCATCTACCCGTCGTGAAGACTGGGTTAAGTCGGATATAAAAGTGCCTCGTGTCGGGCCCTCCCTGCTGGCACAGGGCTAAAGAGCAGCACTAGGAAGCTGTCACAGCCACGGCAGCTGGAGTTTGATCCCCGGCCAGGGAGGGACCCACAGGACGCCGCAGCACACAGATCCTGTCTAACAGCTGCTCCCCTCTGCCAGGTGTTTCAGTCAGTCTGCCTGTTCTGCTCCCCACTCCGCCTCTGGTGAATGCTCTCAGCCCCCACCGCCTCCGGCCAGTACCCCAGTTCTGTATGCATAAATGCATACATCTTTTTAAAATAAACAAATAAAAGTACCTAGTATAGCACCTGCATATTAAAGGCTTCAGACATCTCTGCAGTATTAACAATTGAAATCGAATCCCACAAGAGAGGAAATTATTGGTGGAGCCATTTTTCATTCCACAGATGATGAAACTGCAGCTCTGAGAGGCTGAGGTGTCCCAGACCAACCCATACGTGGAAGCACCAGGGCTTGAGCCCAAGCACCTTGGGGTGGGGCCCCACTTATCTCCCTGGCCTCTGTTCCGCTCTTCCTTGACACACTGTCCCCAGCCTCTGCCCTCTTGTCTGTTCTTCGGGCACACCAAGTCCTTTCCTGCGAGACTTACTGTTTTGCGACCTTCGGGTGACAAACGACGTCTGCCCCCAAAGAGACTGTCCCCAGTCATCCCATCCTAAAGCAATCTCCCTCTTTTCTTTTTTTCCTTCACAGAATTGATCACAAGTGGAAATAACCTCCCTTTGATTTATTTGCTTCTTTATTATCTGTCTTGTCCTAACAAAATACAAGTTCCTCAAAGACAGGAATTTGTCCGTCTTGTTCACCACTGTACCCCCAATTTCTAACACGGTGTGGTGCAGGGAGTGGGTGTTACATATTGATTATACAAGTGATTGGGTAGTTAGAGTCATATGCTGGGAATTTTCCCCAGTACGGTTAAATGGGATGCGGAGTGTTGGAGAAGTTTCAGACAATTTGAGCACTACCTAGTAGGTGCTAAATTACTATTTGGTGACTAAATGATGCTCCAAGCATTGACTGAGGTTCTCCGTGCAAGTCTCTGACCTGCCTCCTTCTGCCCATTTATTTAGGGCTGATTGGGCCAGGCTCAAGGAGAACGTACCTATGAGGATCCCCTTTCTGAAGCGCCAGAATCTTCCCCTGGTCCTTGCTTTAGGGATGACTCTGCTGTGCACCTCTCTGCAGTGCACTTTCCTGTGCCAGGGGCTCTCGGGAGCACTGAGGAGGAGCCTGGGACTCACTTCTGGAGAAAGGGCTCCGCCCACATGTTCGTTTCCAGTGAGTATAATACAGCTCTGTGCCAACAAATCTAATGAATTCATAATAGTCTGAGGGCTAATGGGGCCTGTGTGGCTTAATTAGCCTCTCTGATTACCCCTGGGGATTCTTAGATGGCTCCAAAGTTCTAGGAAATGGAATCTGAGGCAGAAAGTGACAGAGCAAACAAGGGACAATGAACAGGAAAGAAGACAGGGAACTTTTCTTTTAAGTCGCTCTTCACAATGGTCCTTCCTAGCCCCAGGGTCTTAAATATAATATACAGTACAGGTTAAGAGGATGATGGCCATGGATTAGAATCTTAGCTCTCGGGTAAGTTATATCATCTCCCTAAACCTGTTTCCTCTTTGATAAAATGGGTATCGAGAGAAATCAGCCACAGTGTGGGGATTAAATAAGATAACGCAGCTGAGTAGACTGTAAGACACAGGAAGAATTCAGTAAAGGTCTGTTAATATTATTATACAAGGGTGGTACCTAGAGAAATTTATGCCGAGAGGATAGTGGGGCCTCCCTGGTGGCACAAGGGGTTAAAGCGCAGCGCTGTGAAGCTGTCCGCAGCCACTGCAGCACGAGTTCGATCCCCGGCCAGGGAGGGACCCACGGGGCGCGGCAGCCCCCTCCCGGCCCCCGCTGCTCCCTCGGCAGTGGGTTTCAGTACATCCGCCTGTTCTGTTCCTCACTCTGTCTCTGGTGAATCCTCTCACTCCCCGACACCTCTGGCCTGTGCCCAAGTTCTTGTGTGCACAAATAAGTAAATCTTAAAAAGAAAAGAAAAGAAAACTGTTTTCTGGGCCCTCCCCATTGGCACAGCTGCAGCCTCTTCAGTGTGAGTTCAGTCCCCACCCGGAGCTGACCCAGGTGGCGAGGCAGACCCCTCCGGACCTGCCCGCTGCTCCCCTCAGCAGTGGACTTCATCTGCCTGTCTGCTCCCCACTCTGTGTCTGGTGAATCCTCTCACCGCCCCTGCACTTCTGGCCTGCACCCTCAGTTCTGTATGCATAAATAAATAAATCTTTAAAAAAGAAAAGAAAACTGGTTTCTTTGACCCAGTAAGGCATACATTCTTTTTTTTTTTTAAGATTTATTTATTTATGCACAAGAACTGGGGTACAGGCCAGAGGTGCAGAGACAGTGAGAAGACTCACCAGACACAGAGTGGGGAGCAGAAAAGGCAGACTGATGAAGTACACTGCTGAGGGGAGCAGTGGGGAGACAGGAGAGGTCTGCTGTGTCCTGTGGGTCCCTCCCTGGCTGGGGATTCACCTCGGAGCTGAAGTGGCTGCCAGTAGCTTCCTAGTGCTTTGTTTTAACCGGCCACCAGAGAGGGCCCGTAGGCATAAATTCTTCAAACTCCCAGCAGCAGCGAAGCCCAGTTGCAAGCCCCCTCCCCCCATGTGTCCTGTCTCAAGCAGGAGGACACACAGGATCACAATCCTGCACTTTGCCTCTGGGAGGTGGTGAAATGACTAAAAACTAAACTATTTGGGCCCAAGGACACCCCTGGTCTGCGACCTTGGACAACAGGGCTCCTGGGATCTTTTCGATTGTCCTGACTTCTCTTGTTAAAAGTTCGGCTGCCCCACCTTGCTGAAAGGCAGCAAGCTGCAGGATTCTGGGGCCTTAGAGGCGTGGAACACACACGTCCAATTTTGTCCTGCGCTGCATCCCAGCCTTGAGGCACAGCCTGGGCTAGTCCAGGCGGATGCCTGGCTGGAAGGGTGGGGTCTGCTGCCCGCCAGCCTGCCAGCCACTGTGACTCACCCTCCTCTTTCTCCCTCAAGTCTCCCTGCCTACCCCAACCAACTTGGGGGAGAGACTGACTAGAGGCAGAGAGTCCTAGAACATCATGGGGCAGGAGGCACCAACACTCATATTTTAAGGAGGAGAAAACTGAGAGCCAGAGAGAGAGCCAGAAACTCTGTCAAGGTCACAAGCAGACGCTAAACATTCCATCCGTACATCTTCAAGCCTCTGGTTTCTCCCTCTTGTTTTAAAATTTAAATATGAAAATTGCTGGTAACCAAGAGGTAAACATGATTTCCAAAGCCAGTGCTAACATTTTAAGTTTCCCTTTTCACTTCAACATTCATGGCTCACATTCTAAGTCATTTCAGTTTGCCATCACTCAAGAATCAGGGATGCTCCCCCAACATTCAGGCTGACCCAGTGGGAACCACAGGGGCAGGCAGGTCCCTCCAGGGCTTCTGAACCCCTCAACCCACACCAGGGCCTGCGTCATCCTTCCCTTTTCTAGGGCTAAGGGGAGGTTGATTCTCCCCGGTCCTTCACTGCTGCGAGTCGGTGGCCCCTAAAAAGGAATAAGTTGGCTTGATGCCTCACAAAATTTGTTAAGCCTCCACAAACACGGCGGATGCCCGATTTAGGGGTGGTGTTTGTGTCCGTGGGGGGGAGTGTCATTGTGCAGCCCAGGAGGAAGTTAAGATGCTGGCATGGTTAGGGGGACCCGAGCTGATGGTCTGAACCTGAGGAGACAGATGCCCAGCAATATCTGCATCGCCTCCGCGAAGCTCATCCCCCCCTCAAGCTAAAAAGTGGGGTTCAGACCCAGGTCGTTTACAAACTTCCTGGTGACAGGTGCGGGAAGACAGGGGTGGGAAGTTGGGGACCAGGAGGCCAAACAGAACCTT